TTCAATGAGTGAATTAATGCTCTTTAGGACATGTAAAACAGTGTACAAATTCATCACATTAAACTATTTGACCTAAAGTTCTTTGAAACAAATATTTGATAAACAAGTTATTTTCCTTTATACAACATTCCAATTTCCAACAATATAACACAGTAAATGAAAAAAGATAATTTAACATACAGATTACAGCAAGCACCTAAATCCAAATTCAGAAATGCATCACTTATATAAATCATCTTTACTACCATTTAAGTGAGACATTGTTTAATAGCTCAATTAATCAAATAAAATTTAATAATGCCAAGTATGCTCCTCATAGCTAAATTAAAATTGCAAAGCAGATCACATCATAGCACATTTGCACTGGTGACTACTGACTGATAAACTAAATTTCAGCAGTGTTGAATATAAAACGTACGTACCAAGAAGAAGAAGTAAGAAACTCTGAAACTGCCTCAACACTCAACAGTCTCCAACTCTACCCACAACAGAAAAGCTGCTTGCGCCTTCTCCATTGTTTTCGGCCTCCCCGTTAGACATTTTTGGCCACTATCTGAACGACTGAAACTGCAAAGGAGCGAAACAAAATTCAGCCACTGTTTTCTTAAAAAATTGACCTAAAAGTTTTTCAAATTTAGAAAAAGAAGATAAAGATCCGGGATCTAAAATACTGGCACTCCGTAGACCGTAGACGGTAGTTCTTACCTTTCTTAATGTCGAGTGACTCGAGTCCGTCCGATAATAAAAAACCGCCACAGGAGCCGGAGCCGGAGGATGCTGTCACATACTCACAGTGTCACTTGCCTCACTGTGTCGTTGCCGGTAGGTTTTAGTCTTTTAGAAGTGGTTGAGTCTTGAGTACTTGAGTTGAGTTGCAGAATGCAGACGTAGTCACGTAAGGAGGACTGGAGAAGCAACTGAACTGGTGACTGCAGTACAGCAGAAGACTGAAGACGTAATACTGCAAGTCTGAAATGTTGAAGTTGGGTTTCTTAATATTAAAAAAAAAAAAAAAAAATAGGGCTCCAAGTTTTTTTTGGGCCCCCTGATATGCTGGGCCTGAGGCAGAGGCCTCTTGGGCCTCTCCTCAGGTCCGGCTCTGACGCCAAGTCAATCAACTTTCGTGCTTCATACATAAAAAAATCATAGAATACACTAGAGATGCTTTGATAATGGATTGATCAATTCATAGAAACAAAATCAAACAAAGGCAGCGTTGGGATGTTGACTCAAAAGTGTCAAAAGTAAAAGAACTTCAATAGCAAATTTAAAATAAAAAGTTGTAATTATTAAATACTCCTTTGTGCTATGCCTTTGATGTGTCTATTTCATTAGTGGAGGAAAAGATGGCATAATGGCATGATCAAATTTGATTGCAGCATGGTCGGTTCCATTACGGGATAAGAAGAAAAAGATGGGATAAATTTGGAATAAAATAGAATTCTATACTTTCTACGATACTTGGGGTTTGGGAGTGAATAGATAGATATATATATATATTTTCTTCATCTTTTCATATTTTTTGTTTGCTATTTTTTCGAACAAAAATCCCGTAAACAAAATATTATGAATTGGTCTTAATTACAGACAGGCATATCCCATGTTTGACATAAAGCACTATTGGATCCTAGTTTTTATTGCTTTCTGTCAATCTTAGTTGCTTGCTTTATTTAGTATGTTTTGATGATTGTTTCCTTATTGAGTAACTTACGGGTTTGTGTCTTTATTTTTTATACAAGACATTGCAAAATTGTACCCAACTCGAATAAAAATTAAAGTTTGGAGTTATCCAAATATTCCCATCGGTCTTTCAAGTTTAAAACCAACTAGTTATCGATCAAGGTGTTTTATCTCAATTCAGCTACATCAACTAAAGCCTCCAGAGTTTAGGCATGCTATTCACGTGGCACGAGAATAGCAAAAGCACCTTCTCAATCTTTGCCTCGACTCCAGAGGACGAGCACTTGATGATCAAAATTATCTAAACTACTTGAAGTTTATAGTCAATTTTGATTCCTCTAGGGTCGTCACGATCTTTGTGTGGATGCTTAATGACGTATACCTTGATAATCAAATTATCTAAACAAAATAACACTATAATCAATCTTGATTGAATGGAGAATAGTCATTTCTATTATGATCACTATAAAACTAGGGTACTGAGTCGTGACTCACGACTCGTGACTAACTTTAAATCTCCAGTCACAAAAGTCATAACAAAAGCTAGAATTTTATTTTTAATTTTTTAAATCGTGATCATCAACTTGTCCATATTTAACGCTGGACGATTATCGGAAAAGTTTGATTACCTTTATTTAAAGTTTCAGGGTATTGACTGAGCCCCCAACTAATACTTTACATATGGAGACAAATCCGTGACATCAGACTCGTTGGAAGGCTTTTTTGGATTGAAACCTGAATGGTGCAGAATAGAAATTACTGCTTTTACCTGAACATAGTGCTTCTTTCTTTTGTTTGCTTGGTTCTGGTTTTTCTTGACGGCAACAGAAGTAATTTGTCTGTCCAAGTTTGGACCAAGAGCCGTGACTTCACTAAATTAATTAAGTGCCACATGATTTCTTGGTTTCCAGATATAGCTCTTGTTTGTCACGACATGTTCGATGTAGATTTTATTAAAATAAATTTTGTCAAAAATTATTTATTTGAAGAATGTATAGTTAAAAAATAGAAAAAATTTATGAATCTACGTGTAAAATCATTTTATTGGGAGAAATTATGGTTGAAAATGAATTTTAAAGAATCTATACCAAACAAGAACTTAATTTATAATTATAATCAATCAAATTTTACTTTTTATTCATATATGTCGCTAGAAATATAAATATTATTCTCTTACTAATCACTCATTTCTATCTATTTAAATTTAAATTGAATATAATCTATTTCCAAATAAGAGCATGGCAATAGAGCGTACCTCTTATGGGAAAAGTGAACCATGCTGTCCGGTTGCATCATTGTACAATGTTGACCTAGGTATGAATTGATACTATTGTACAATTCAGTACACAATAATTGATAAAACTAAATAGTACGATTATTCTTTTTTAAAAAGGTTGAATCCCAACTTTAAGGACCCCCATCGTTTCGTCCCTAAAACTTTGTGAGGGAGGTAAATTGCGGAATATGTCTCAACAGGCCAAGAAATAAGAGCTGTCTGTACACTGCACTTTCAAAGAGTCCAATTCTATATTTCAGGAATCGAACCTCCACACGACGGCTGCCAACAAGGCGTGAGATAACCTCACTCCTGTCCTTTGTACCACTGGACTATACCCTAGGGGGCAGCTACTGTTCTTTTTTAATACTACGGATGGTATCGAACTTATCTTACCAAACGTGTAAAACTCTCTCTAAGACTGTCTAATCGTTAATCTACCCAAATAAGGCCGCAATATTGATACGAGGCAAAGGAAAAAAGTGATCGTGTGAATAAGAATTGGTTTGGCCGTGGATTGATGAAGGCACAACACAAGCAATACTCGACATGCAACGCTAGCAAAAACGTAGCATGTGTTAGATATTTTTCATCATTTTGCATGGGTTTAATATTTTGTTTTGAGAATGATTTGCTGTCCGGATTAGTGTTTGTCGCTGCGCAATGGGGTTCGACCTTCTTTCTCTTGGCATCAATCAGTAATTTTCGAGTGTCTTCTTGGTTTGATCAAATAGTCACAATTTGAATCAAACGCCTTTATTGTATCCTAAGAGAGATTTTCTATAATACCCCAGTTGTGACTTTATTGAATAGAGGAGAAACATCTCTTAAAAGATAATGTTTTTTCGTGTCTTGGAGTTCATTAACGTATTCAGATTTCCCTACATTATTATCAACAGCATGTTGACCCAAAATTAATAATAAGGCAACACATGGATAAGGATAGCAAAATTACTTGCCCTGTCCCGTTTAGTGATTGGGGCAAGGATGGGAGCATAACTCTAGCTCTGATTATTGTATTTATTATATATTTTACAATTTAAATATCATTATAAATAAGTACAAGTGAATTTCATTAATCCCCCCGACCAGGATTTAAAGTTAATATATTTAATCAAGCAATCATTATTGTAATAACTAGAAATTTGAGTGAATAATTTCAGTCATATTTGTGTGCTTTACCTATTGCGGCTGTGAACTGCATGAATTTATTACATTTTGGCTATGAGACAAACCTTTAGCTTTGTAAAAGTGTGATCTTTTTCTTGACGATAAAAAA